CACACACACACACACACACACACACACACACACACACACAAAATAATATTAATATTTATATCCAAGTATGGCATATTCATGTAGACTACATAAAATTTATTCATATACCTTTACTTTTAAGTCTGAATGGACCTAAAGTACCTATCGCTGTTACAAAACCGTTTATATACATTTTCGGTACATGTACATCGATTTCCAAACGGAAAATGTCATTATCAAGAAAGTTTGTTTTCACATCAGAAAGACGAGATTCTGTTAAACCAGTAACAGTAACATTTATCAAAATTACTTCTGCATGTATTTCGCCTGAATCAAATATACCTTTGCCATATTTGTAAAGTAATGGATTTAACGATGGAAAATCTATTTCTGGAATACCTGCCAGCGTGAATAAAGTAATAATAATTATTATTATATTTTAAAGTAGATTAATCAAATTTTAATTTTTACTTATTATAAATGAAATTTCATCTGTTTATAAATTTATGAAATTTTTGAGTATTTTGAAAAAAGATACCTTTATAAAATCGTGGCCATGCCTCCTCTACAGCATGTTTTAAACAAGCGGAATAATCATCTGAATCTCGCTTACAGGTGATCAAAGCTGAATAGGAATAAAAATAGAATGAAGTAGCAATAAATCAAAACTAATAGAATATGAAGAGAAAATATAATATAAGGAAATGTAATATGTAATTTAAAAAGTGATTATTTTTGCCGAGTATATGTGCGTGATAAGAGATAGTTTTTAATCGTGATAAAAAATGATTAAAAAATTGTTTTTTAAATAATGTTAATAGTGGTAAATATTATACATATAATAAGAAAAAGTAATTATAATAAAGTAACGAATAATAAATTATACCTTTTTTATTTGAAACAGTTCTTACATCAACTTTATATGTTGATTGTATACAATAAATTGTTTACATGTTAAGTGACAGCATATTAAAATTTGGCATGTAGATATGCAATAATATTATTAAAAGAGAGAGAGAATTATGAAAAAAGACTTACGAAGCGTAAATTGTCCATTTGTATATAATCCCAACGTTACAAAGCTGAATATACTTAGTACGTAGAATAACATCTTACTTTTTGTTTGATATTCTTGAGAATAATTCAATCAGATGTGGAACGCTTTATATAATCTCACTTCTCAAGGTCTTTAGCGATATATAATGAAACCGACGAATGCATTAAAACATGCGTAGATAAAACTGGTAAAAAAGTAATCAAGACTAAGAACTAAGTTGTTTTAATAGAGAGAAATAGATTATACCTTTATAACTATTCTAAGGAAAAGTATATTAATAATTTGTCTACAGAGTCTATACAGAGAAATCGTTTTGAGTAAATATGTCATCTTAATTAAAGAACAATTGTAAACACAGTTCCTAGAATAACATGCATCGTAAAAAGTTTTAAGAAGTTCATGCTAATAATTTATATGTTGTTAACATAAAATGGAAATTTTTTTTAATAATTAATTTGTCTATACAATTTGTAGGCATATTTTCGCTATTGGCGTAAAACCGATATATTTAGTTCTGCAAGAAATTATATTCATGACTGTACACACACACACACACACACACACACACACACACACACACACACACACACACACACACACACACACACACACACACACACACACAC